CTTTATAAACAAGATGATGTGTGTGTAAGCACCATCTTGTTTTGGCAACACCTTTCTGCAGGAAGTCCGCCAAAATAACTTCTTAAAAGTCCTCACATAGAGATCAAAATGAGCCCGCTGGCATCAATTGGCATAGCTGCATAAACGAAGAGAAAGAATTTAAAAATAAAGCTATAAGTGAAAAGATATAGATGTAAAATTATGCATATGTGAAAAATACAACTATTCTAGTGAATTTCTACACAAAGTTGAAAGGTATGTACATATTTGTACTTGTTGATTTTAAACATTTCATTGTTGATGATAATATCTAGAGTTAAGTGATATAGTGGAGAAAATTGAAAATAAAATATAAACAATTACCTTAAAAAACTTTTGATATTCGTTTATGAGCTTCTAGAGATCATGCAAATGAAATGTGAAAACTGTAAGATACAAAAATAGGATTTTTGTACTTCATATTGAAATTACCATGCATATGAACTATTCAGAGTCTGAGTGCAAATAACTACATGAAATAATGGATTTTTTTTATTAGAAATAGCAGAAATAAATAAAAATTAAATATTTTTCTGAAACTATTTACTTTTACGAACGTTCTTGTCAACTTTCAAACAATTTTATCCACTAGTTTTATATTTGAAACACATTTCACAAGAGTTGTATAATTTTCTTCTGACGGAAGTAGGTCATCCCTGTAGGGTTAATTCAGACATCAGGGACATGTTAGATAGATGTATTTTTTATGGATAGCAAGTTGTACAAAGATTTGATGAATATACAAGTACATAAACAAGTAAATAATTTGTTAATGTACTAATTATTGTTTTTTACGGTATTCGATAAGTTTTGTATTCTTTTTTTTTATTACAAGCGCTCATCTGTCTAGTATGATTGTCTCTAGCTTACTGATTTGAACTTTTAATGTGAAGGGGCATAAGCTCACTATTAAAGATATTGTAGTAATTGAATAAGAAAACATGATTTTGAAGTGAATAACATATAAAATTAACTAGTTAGGCAAGTTAAAACCTAGAAAAAACAATTATGGCATTAAAATGTGTTTGAAGGAAAACGAAGTTTGATTATAAACAAGATTACGACACAATAAACAATGTTGTATATCATAAGTGTCGTAATCTTGTTTATAAGTTAGTTATTTTTTACTGTTTCTGCTGTAGGAGCGTCTGATTATATGTTTGCAATATTATGTGTGTTAAATTTATCTACTTTATAAATACATTTCTAGATGTGTTTCAATATTTAGTAACATTTATACAACTGTATTTCTGTTCATATAAGTTTTATTGGTTTTGAGCCTTTTTTTTAATAACATAACATATTTTGTCTTACATAGTAGTTATTTTGAAAAATGAAATTTACATTAAAATAATGATACTGGTGTTTTTTCTAACTTCTAAGATTGTTCTTTGTATAGATTAAAAGGTTTTCAACTTTACTGGTTAATATTGCTGAACTGCATAACTTCTTAATTCAGAGTAACACAGGAAGTGTTGTTATCTATATACTTTCTTAGAAGTTGAATTTTTAAGTTTGCATGTTATCCCAGTTTACTGTGTTTAATAGTTTATGACAAAAGAATCCTCTTTTGGTCCATTTAATTGTCTTTATATTTCTTCTGTCCCATATTTAAAAATTATTTTGCACTTTTGTGATAATTTTTCATCTCACCTTCCCATCCTTGATTACGTCAGCAGTAAGTTTAAAGACCTACAATGCTAAAATCTGGGATTTGATTACCTGCTGTGGATTGAGAACAGATAGCCTATTGTGTAGCTGTTGCACTTAAAAGAACAAAAATCCAGCATTCAGCTTAATTTTAATATTATGGATGGTAGCTAGTTGACATAATTATATGTTGAA